TTTTGTGGAAAAAGAAGTGTTCCACTTTTTGAGTACAGTTGTATAAATAATAATAAATTTGTAACTATAACTAAGTTGTTGGTACATTAAAATATCTTTAAATATTGTTTTTACTTAAGCTCTGATAGACCAAGAAAAAATTTAAGGCCTTCTACTATTTATGTGTGGTGGATTATATGCTGTCACCTTGATATCATAACATGAGTACTCTAAAATCTCCTTTGAAAGGAAAATCCAGGAAGCTAGAAATTTCTTCCCAGTGTGCTCCTGGCATACAACACAATAATGAGAGGAAAACTTGTGAGATTTGGAAAGGGAAAGAAAAGAGAAAAATCTTTCTTTTCCAGAAGTATTTGCAACCAGCTGTGTGAGTAGATGGGAGATTTATAATAACTTGAGAGAAAAATATTTTACTGCTGCAGACTTAGATAGTAGAAGTGCCTCATACCTTTTGGAGAATAATAGTAGCTTGCCAAAGAAGTTTTGGGAGATATTCATTTTATTCAACCTGAGATCTTTGGGATCTTTTGCAGCAACTTTTCTGACTTTCAGTCATCCCCAATCTCTCTCATGCCGTATGAACCCAGAATTACATATGGAGGGAGGTTTGTGGTTTTTCTGAGCAAATTCTGATCATTCACAATCTCTTTACTTAGCTTTGCTTCCTTTGTAGTTTCTGTTTTATTAAAGTTGCTGCTGTGTTATTTGCTGTGTAAACAGTCACAAATTTTGGATTATGGCTTTTACATTTTATTTTTGTTTCATTTAATGCTTCTTTTTTATTTAATGCTTCTTATACTCAATTCTCCCTTATTTGTTTCAGGAAGCAGGGACCTCTATAATTTTATATTTATTATAGCTTTGTCTATTATTTCTAGCCTTTCTAAATCATTTTGTTATAGATATTTCTCTTTATACAGCCCAGGTCAATTATTTTATCAAGAATAAATAGTTTCTTTTTCTTTTCACATGTTACATAAACCTATGTATGTTTTTTTGGAGATAGAGTCTGGTTATGTAGTTCAGGCTGGCTTTGAACTTATGGTGATCCTCCTTCCTCAGCCTCCTGAGTGCTGGGATTACAGGTGTGCACCACCATGCTCAGCTACCTATTTTTACATTTATTACTATATTTGGTGTCATCTTTTGTCTATTATGTAGCTCCTCAGATACTTCACAGTTTACATTTTTGTTCTATGAATACAATTGTATATATATCCTTACACCCTATTGTGTTGAAGTGTACAGTATCTATTAATTTTTTAACAACAATTATAAAACACACATTTAGTTCTGTCACCCTGAGCACCACATTTGTGTTAGTACTGGTTCTATAATGAGATATATATATGCAAAGGTTGATGGCAATTCTTCCAATATGAATTTCTAATAATTTTTATTCAGATGTAACTCAAAATCGTTTCCTTGAGAAAAGTTTGAGTTCTTGTATTTCTCAGAACTTTTGTGTGAACCCTTTATATTCAAGGGATAATTTGATTGAACATAATATTCTTTGGTTACATTTTATTTTCTTAAAAATTTTAAAAAGTTTAAATTTTTGTAGTGGAATAAAAAATAAGCAAAAAATTTGCAACATATGCTCCTATGGATAAATCTGAGATTAGCCATATTTTTAAGCATTTATAGATGACTCAACCTTCTTATCTAACCTTACCAAAAGATTATTTTATTTATATTTGTCCCATTAGTGACTCTTCTGAGTCTGTTATACCTGGTCATGTGGTATGTTAAAATATATTCTGTTCAAATTTTTTACTATTTTCTGAATTATTTATTGAATTATATTCTTGTATATGTGTCATTCTCAATTATTTTACTTTTCTGCTTTTGGTACTTAATCTACAGATATGCCTATTTTAGATATTCGATATTTTTACTAAACCATTTGAGTTCTTTTAATTCTACTTCATTTCATTTACTTGTCTGACTTCTAGCGTACATTTCACTTGCTACATTTTTCACCATATTTATGAAAGTGTTGCACAGTGATTTTTGTTTCTGTGACAGTTTTGTTCTTTTGTCTTTTTTCCTTGAGTTTTCAGATGAGTTCTTGATTTATAGCTTTCTGATATTTCTTCGTATAGATGATTGCTTCATTGCTTTAAAAAGATTGATAGTGGGCTGGGGATTTAGCTCAGTGGTTCCAACGCCTGCCTTGCAAGCACAAGGTCCCAAGTTCAATCCCCAGTACCAAAAAAAAAAAAAAAAGATTCATATTAAGTTTTGGTCACAGTTCTCATCTGCTCTGAATCAATATTTCTCTTGTGTTTGACATTTGTTAATATTACAGCTTTCATATTAATTTTTCTTCTTTTTATATTTATCTATTTACTAAATAGTATGACAATATAATAATTTAATGAGTTACATGGTTTGGAATAGCTATTTGAATGTTTTCAGTATAGTTTTCATTATCCAAAGGCTCCCCATTTTCTCTGCTTCTTCCTATGCAGGCTGGGTTCTACAAATATAATTGATTTAAATGATGTTTTGAATATCCTTGCCTTTCTCTACCTCAGCCAAATGAGGCCTAGCACGGTTTTGTGCATCAGCTCTGCTTAGTTGCAAATGAGTAATAGAGATTTTGCATTTTAACATGCATTTCTCACTCATGAGGGATATTTTGGCTGTTACTTTTGGAGATTGTAGACTTCCCATCAGTGTCTTGCTTCCCGTCCCTTTTTTTAAGTACTTCTTTTTACTCAACTTTTGTCTGATTGAAACTGCTGTGGACAGTTCTTACATTTATCTTAAGAGTCAGCATATTGTATATGTTTCCTGGTTTCACCCATATTTTTATTTTCTTCTTTGATTTGTTCTAGTTTCTAAAATAAGAGGAAAAATACTGATTTTTTTTCTCAATATAAGTTTACATATACTTACTTTACCTAAGAAACAAAGTTAGAGGCATGGACTATATGATATTCTAGTATTTGGGAAAAGGGAGATTCAACATACATTTTAGAAAATATATGTCAATGCAAGTTTTATTTTATTGATGAAAAATTTTCATTAACACACAAAATGAAAAAGAAAAGAGGGATTAACTGTAAAAATGAAATAAAGAAAGGTAGGTAGATCCTGAATTGTAATATTATTTGTAAATGGGAATCAGAGACCTCTGGTTAAGATAGTAGGGTTTCTCTCAGTGTTTAGCTTTGTATCTAAGAATAGCCTCAGTACATAGAAAACCCCATCAAAATAAAACTTTTTTTTGGTTAAAGATAGGAAACAGATCAGTTGAAGTATGGGGAAAACAAAGAACTAGAAAGTGACATTTTGAAAGTAAAACTCTGATAAACATGTAAAACTGTTCTATCTTAACTGAGTAATGAAAATATATGCTTCAAATTTTCTTAAAATAAACATATTTTGCAGATGTATTATTACAAAAATTAGTATACAAATAAATGTACACACAGAAAGCAAACTGTATTTTGTTTTATTGGGACATACGGGAGCCTGTCACTGAATATAACAGGACATATTAGAAATAATAAACACACTGACATTTTAACATTTTTAGAAATTTTATTTTTAAACCAATGTTAAGCATTATTATTACTGATTAAACAAACTAAAACAATAATATAAAATACTGAGCAAGATGTGTCATCTGTTTCACTGATCAGCTCGTGCGATGACTGTCTTTTCTATGTTCATACGTCAAGAACCATAGCATACTAACATACTGACTCTGTTCTCTAGTAACTATGCCATAAGCAGTTGCTCTCTAAAATTTAATTTAATAAAATTATCAGTACTGTACATGTTTGTGGTACATGATGACCACATTTATCATAGGAAATTGGTACATGTACATAACACATCTCAATCTTTTTAATTTTCCCTTTTATTCCAAACTTCTAACTATTAAAATTTACAGTAAATGTCAAATGTGTTAGATTAAAAATATAAAAATATTTGTTTGGAAACTTCACTCAGAAAATGGAATAAGTCCTTGTCTTTAGCAATATTCTAGGCACGAGGCTGTGAATACATCAGCAGACTTTTGGAAGTTGCCAAAATAAGTTACTGAGCTCATGTTCTCCGTTGAACATAAAATTTACTTTCAAAATCAGCATTTGTAATATGTCTGCGACTGCAAGTTTGTATAGAGTGTGTGTGTGTGTGTGTGTGTGTGTGTGTGAGAAATCTTAGCGCTGAACGTTTCGTACTTCACACAGATTCTAGCCTACGTACAATCTTTTGTCCCGTGGTCAGTAATCATGTTGGATCTTTTGGATTTGTACTTTACTGATTCATTACTTGACTCTGGATTTGTGACTTTGCTTCATGTCAGCTCCCTGGAGAACTAAGACTCATTTCATTAATGCTCTGATCCCCCTCTTCCGGCTATCTTCCCTGGGTATTTCTCATAGTGCTACATCTACTACTATGACTACTGCTACTACATCAAACACAGCAATAAAAAAGGACATTAGGATTTAAACATTGAAAATAAAGTAATTTTCTAAAGAATTAAAATTGCACACACACACACACACGCGCGCGCGCGCGCGCGCATCCTTTTCTGTTCCTTACTTCTACGTTCCAAATGCCAAGATCGATCGTAACATTTTTTGTTCTTTGTTTCTTTTTCTTAGGGTCTTCCTAGTGAAAGGGAGCCACTGCTTCAGGGAAGCCAGGTGCAGCACAAGAGAAAGTCTTGTAGATGTTTGTCCCACATTAGTAATCTTCATGCAGAATAGTCTCTCTACTGGTGCTTTTCCTCGGGAAAGTGTGTGGAAAGAAGCTGCAGAGTCAGGAAGTTGACGGAACCAACGAATTTGCGCATGGGGTTAAATCTCATAAGAGAGCAGGTTTCCCTGCGACACAGCCAAAGAATTATGGAATATTTAAATGATGTTCAGTAGCACAATTACAAATCAGAGCAAGACCTGGGGGTGAGTGGAAAAGTCTTCAGGGCTTTTCTCAATAGATTGTTCTCCTAGAATATCCATTTTATGCAAGCCTGTCTATGCGACTCTGAGATTTTGTCTTTTCTCACAACACTTTAATTGCTGCACTACCCTCAGAGATGTTTGCTTCAGCTGGCTGTTTCCTAGCATGAGAATGAGTGAGTGAGCACAGGGGCACAAGGCTGTGTTTATCAAGCCAAAAAGAAAGAGAGGTTTGTTTTCTGGCACGACAGAGCATGCTGCTTCTATGATAATGCCTGCTAAATACAAGACATAAAGAATGATAAAAGAGAGTAACACTTTCATTGCTTTCACGTGAGCTTCTGTGTTGACATCTCGGAATCCTGTGACATTCAATTGCATCTGCCTGTGGTGTCTCCAAAGAGAAAAGATTAACAGCAAACATGTGATTACAGACACCATAAAGAAGAAAAAGACTCCTAGATTCAGGAAAATGTGACCAATAAAGAGCTCTCTGCTACGTACGTGGAGCTGCCAAGATGTGTTTCTGTATTTCATTTTGTAATCATTAGTTATCTTCACAACTTGTAGAAAATTAAATATAAAGGACAGAAGCAGGCATCCCATCAGAAGGGTAAAAACAGTGTTGATTCTTCTCTTCAACCAGAGAAAAATGGAGTGAGAAAAATTTGCTATCTTCAGGAAATAGAAGATGCTGAGGCTGGTAACAAATGCGATGTTCAAATGATTGAAAACTGCCCAAAGGTAACTACCATATTCAACAAAGTTACTAAACATATACCTATCTGGAAAGAATACCTTTATATACCCATTTAAAATTATTAACCATATCACACAAATTCTGGAAATAGCTAAGCCAGTGAGAATGAAGCAAATCAGAGAGGATTTCTTCTTTGTGATACAATCAGTACAGTTTACAAATCCAATATGTCCATTCCCTAAAACTCCCAGTACTGACTCACTAGTTGCAACAAAAATGAAGAAGATTTCCACTGGACTTGGCATGTCTGTTTTATATCACCTTCTGCAGATTGAGGTATATATTGGCTGGGTGATGGAAGGATGATTCTTTTCTCTCTCTAAATAAAAACAGGCCCCAGGAATATCTGGCAATGGAATCAGAAATATCTTTGTTGAGATCCCCCCAGTCTATAAAACTTAGCTAGCCTAGAAAATATATGTCCAGGCAGAATGCCGACTTTGTTAAGATGCAAATGAAAGTTTTTGTTTCATGGATTTAATTTGTCCTTCTGAGATTACTTTGCATTTAATAAACAGAATTTGGGAGTAGGAGTGTCAAACACACCTACAGCAGCCAGAATACAGTACTGGACCTCATCTTTTTCGTTATCAAATCATCATAATTTATGTTGTTTATAATCCAAGTTTAAATATATATAAAGAAAAAATAGCATATAGAAGCAACAGGTAAATGTGGCCATTATAGACATTTTGAAAAATCAATTCAATTTTTAATTAAAATGTAAGTTGTGTTTTTATACTCATAGTTACTTCATCCACAAATGCAAAGTATGTTGACCACCTTTGACACGAGAAGCCCTTAGGAAGAATTCCTCCATTTAACATATTTCACTGATGATATCCATTCCCTCATTTTTTCAAAAGTATTTCCTGAGCATCTAAATACCAAGCTGTCTTCTGGTCCCTGAGGAAATGTAGTAGCAGATAGACTCAACACTTTTGTGATTCACAGAGTTTACATTTTAATGCAGGAAGCCCCAAACACTAGCAAACAATGTATTGGTCCAAAAGTTAAAAGTGAAATCTAACATTTATAGAACCTTTATTATGTTTCCAACACTATGCTAAATGCTTTATGACCATTTTCTCATTTCCACTTCACAATAAGCCTTTAAGATGGATGCTCTTATCTTTATTTTAAACATTAATAAATGGAGATTTAGAGAAAAGCAGAGCCTCTCCCATCTATATTAGCACGACTCCTGTGGATTAATCACACAGTAAGTTCACAGTGGAAGTCCCACAAGGCATAGGAACAATGAATGACACTTAGCAAAATATAATAAACAAAAGTGAGATGAGACTTCACATGGACTGCACGTGCTGAAAGTGACAGGTCAGATGATGTGCAAAACAGAGCATATGTAGAAACTGTTTAAAGAAATAAATGATGCAATCCCGGAGAATAGTGGCTACAAGAGATGCAACAGAAGGTAGGTGAAGCAGAGAACAGATTTCCTGACAAACCAAATCTTGTAGTGCCTTCCTTTTAGACTTCCAAGCTTCCAGAACTAGAAGGAAATCATTTTCTATTGTTTATTAATTACATTAGCCAGTCTGAGGTATCTTGTTATAGCAACACAAATGGGCTAGGATACCTTCTCCCCATAATCAATGAAAAAGTAGATAAAATATCAGTAAAGATATAGAAGACTTGAACAATACTTTGAAACAACTTGATCTAATCAACACTTACAGAAAACTGCATATAACTAAGAATATATATATTCTTTGCACACTCACATGAGACTTTTACCAAGGTTAGTAAGACTTTGATTTATAGCATAATTTCCAAGAAATATGTAATTTTTAAAATGGATATGGTGATTTTTCATGAATCACAACATTCAACCATAAATGAGATGAACCAGTAAAATGTTTCTAATCTGCCTTCAGAGATGGCAGTGGTTGGGTTAATTATCTCTCTGTTTCTGAGACAAAATGCCTGATTCTCACAACTTGAAAGAAGAAGGATATGTTTCGGTTCACAGTTCAGAGGTTGCAGTCCATGGTCATCTGGCTCTGAGGAAGAAACATTATAGCGGAAGGGTACACTGGAGGAAAACTGCGTGGAAGCCCTGCAGTGGGGTGAGCCAGGGAGAGCCAGAGAAGGAGCCAGGATCAGATACAGTCCTCAAGATCACATGCTGATGAGCAGCCCAGACACATCCAGTAGTGTGCTTTGCCAATCAAGTCTGGTAAGTAGACAATAAAGATTACCCATCACAGTGCTTTTCAACACAAAAAAAGAAGGAAGAAGGGAAGGAAAGGAAGAAGGGAGGGGGAGAGGCAGGTAGGAAGCAAAAAGGAAAAGAAAGGAAGGAAGGAAAGACAGAAAAGTAAGGAGAAGAAAGAGAGGGAGAGAAAAAGAGAGGGAGAAAGGGAGGGAAGGAGGAAGAAAGGAAAATCCAACCAAATACTTTGTGATTTCTTCATGTTTATATACCCTGATGTGCTACAGTCTTTTTTTTTTTTTTTTTTGGTAAATTTTCTAACAAAGTCAAAATTTGAAGGGCATTTTAATAAAATTGTAATGTATAGAGAACTTAATAAATTTATATTTACTCCTAAATCTTCAATAAATAAATAAATGTATATTTACTTGACTCTTCTTTAGTATAACCCATATAATATCTCATAATTTAAAAAATTATAGTCCATATTTACTAATTAAAGAATTTTCTTGGTGTACTTTTTGTCACCTTCAGAAATGGAGAAAGAATTCTACGAAGGATTTTCTAATGCATTTCAGTTGAGATACAAGAACTCTCCTGTTCTTTGAATATTTGTCTTGCATACTGTAACTTTGTTAAACTTTTCTACTAATCTTAATACTGCATCTTTATTTAATTCTGGTTCAGTCACTTGAGGAGTATTTTTGTGAGTTTTTTTGTTTTTTTGTTTGTTTTTGTTTTTTGAGGCAGGGTCTCCTGGCTGGCCTCAAACTCAGGGAGACCCTCCTGCCTCAGCCTCCCTAGTGCTGAGATTAGAGGCATGCACCACCATACCTGGCTTCATTCTACCTTGTTCCCAGAGTAATAGTAAGGGACAACTCTCTTGTATATGGAGCTATAAGTATACCCTTTTTATACATGCCACATTCATCCTATGACATCATCATGAATGAAAATATCTTTTTTCTTACATCTTTGCGAAGAAAAGCACTAATTACTGTAAGTGGTGTTCTATTCTATAGCTAAAAATGAAAATAATCTGCTGTTTAAATTTGCTTTTGCTCATTTTTATTGAGGCTGAAGACTTTATTTACTCATGAATCACTTTTTTTTTTTTGGTACGGGGGATCAAACTCCAGACCTTGCGCTTCTGAGGCAGGTGGCAGCACCACTGAGCTAAATCCCCAGACTTTCTTTTTGACTTTGAAGACCAGCTTCAGTCACAAGGCATGGAAATACTACAAGACACTGATACACACACACACACACACACACACACAAACACACGCACCACACAAAAACAATTTTTTGAAATCAAAGACTTACTTGTTTAGACAAAGTACAAATTTAAAAAATCCACTAATACAATCCACATTGAAGAAATTCTGAATGCGATTCAGCTAGTGATGATCAAGGCCAATGAAAACTTTATTTCTTTGTTTATTTCGGTATGATCCTGTCAATTCATTTGCTCCATCCAATTGATTTATCATCAAAATTGTGTTATGAATTTCCAGTTGCTAAGAGGGTAAAGATGCTTTCAGGGAAATTGCCTAGAGAAAGAGATTCTCTCACTCTAATATGCCTGCTGCTAGACTGATTTCCAGTGAGCTGGTGGCAGACAAGGTTATTTTCTTCTTTGGTTTCTGTTTTAGACACTGCTTTTTAATGAGAAGCCATCTGGGTCAGCTGTGAAATAGTGTTTATCATCTACAAAATAAAAGCTTTCACAATTATTTAATGCTCAGACACTGTGCTTTCATTTTGAGAGGGTATAGTTTTATATCTAAGATGACTAAAAAACTAAATTTGGCTTTTGTTATTGGAAAAGGATATTAGCTTTTTTGTCATTACAATATTGTTTTTATCCAGATTCTTTGTATCCTCCCTCCCTTCTTCCTTCTTTCCTTCCTGAGACCACATACCACCATGTTGCCTAGGTTGCTCTTCAACTCCTGAGCTCAAGCAATCCTCCTGCCTCAGTCTCCTTCCTGAATGCTAGGATTACAGGCATGCACCACTGTGCCCGTTCTAAATTCCATATAATTTCAATTTGTATATATTTTATTAAGGGTCAGGACTCTCACATCTCATGTAACACTCTTGTCCAGGAAACACTCCAAACTCCACTCCAAAGTCAAACTCTAATTAGCCCATTGAAGCCAGTCAATTCATGACATGCTTCTGGCAAAAGGTCCCTGGTTCAGGTGTGGTATCAGGTTCTGAATTGTTTCAACAGAATGAAAGGATTTTTTTTTATGAAAGGATTTTTAAAATCAATGATTAAATGAGGCTTTCCTCTCCAGCCAGGCGTGAGTAAGAAAACAAACCCAATTTCTATTAGTAAGAGTCTTGTAATCCCAAAGTGAAAAGCTCTAAGATGAAAACACAGTTCAGCAGAGTAAAGCAGAAAATAACCTGGGTTCTTGGCCATGACATTTGGCTCCTATTATTACCATGAGTGGAACTCTCTCATCCTTAGATATCTAGTTATATGTGATAATTATTTTCCTTACAGTCTATATCAGTTTGAGAAATGATTTCCTTATTTGGAGTCAAAAGCTTCCTGATAAATACATTTCTCCCAAAATATTAGCAATTCAGAGACATTTTTAGGGGTAGGTTCATCCTGTATACAATACATAATTATGTTTCATGTTACCTTAAAATATTAAGAATTAATCTATGCAATTACCTTTATTCCTGGAAACTTCAGTCAGCATATAAGGTTAATATAAACTAGAAAATATTCTCTTTTCTAATCATTCAGCAATAGATTTTTTAAAAAATGTTTTTATTTTATTTATTTATTTATTTTGGTATCGGGGAGCAAACTCAGGACCTTGTGCTTTAGAGGCAGGTGGCAGAACCACTGAGCTAAATCCCCGGCCCACAGCAATAGACATTAAACCATAGTATCATGATGATTTCCCTGATATAGCACATAAGTAAAATATTTTTTAAGTTTTATAGCTTTAATAACTATTTCTATATTTTATGTTCCTTAATTTGAATATTTCAATTTTTTCTGGCTTCAGGGCTATTATATTTTTGCATCTTTACCAATGT